AAAGGAACTTCCCCAAGCGGTGGGAGGGTCTGCGGCCCCCACAGGGTAGGTAACACGCTGGCTTTGCAGCTGCCAAGTCCTTCCTGCTCCTTTGCCACGAGTGCCTCAATATATTCCTGCAAGTGCCTGCGACTTATAAGACAAAGGGAAAACAGTAAAGAACATTTCCTGCATTCAGCAAACATAGGGCTTAGGCTGAAATAGAAAAAGTTCTAAGTCACATGCAGTTTGTCTGAGCGTTGGGGCAGAGATGGGACAGGGACAAAAGGGGACACCCAGGCGGATTCAATCCGTTGCATTTAAGCGCAGGCATTGCAGCAATCTGAGCACCATTCCCTATCCAATGTGATCTGTGCTGATACAACCCAGTCTTCCAAGACCTCCCTTCTCCACCCCGGACCCCAGGCTCCCCATGCAAGGGGGCAGTGTCTTCCCGCTCCCAAGCTCCGGAGCAGGCTCTGCAATTTCCCAATGGGATTCACAACGTGTCTCGGGAGCTGTTCAAGCTGCTGGCTGTGACTTACTGATGCTGCCTTCGCACAGTCTGCCAAGAGTCCTGCAACAGAACGAGATCAGCTTATGAAATATCAATACCTCCATATATTTGCAAGCAGGGAACATGTGCGCTAAAACATCTCCAAACTGAAAGTTTAGAAAAAAATATTTTCTGTGCCAGTTGGATAATGTTTAGTAAATGTAGGCAAATAGGCAGAGGTTCCAAAGAGCGGAGATCCGGAGCACCCTGAACCCAGCCCAGGTAACCAGGACTTGTTCCACAAGTGGGTTTAAAAGGCTGTGAAAAACCTGTCCCCCGGAGCGGGTGTTGGAGTGGGAAGTTTCTAACGTGGTGCCGAGCGCCGGGCTGGAGGGGGACGAGCAACTCACGGAGGCAGAGGAGGCAGAGGAGCCGGGTTGTTGGGGCCATGCTGATCCTTGGAAGAAGCAAAAGACTGAGGATGAGTAAGTAGATGGTCCTGTCTTCCTCGGGGGCTTTTATAGCTTTTAGATCATGGAGCGCAGCGTTTTGGTTCTCTTATTGAGAGAACACCCCTCCTTATCCCACTTCCCTACCCATGAGCCGGAGACCTTGCGTGGAAAAGAGTCCCGGGCTCGGGAAGGGGCTCGTCAGGCTGCCCAGCGTCCCACAGAGCAGTTATGGAGCCCCGGCCTGATGCCGACGGCTTGTCCGCGATATCCCGCTACGTGCCCGAGCCCCCGTGTCCTCCCGTCCCGGGAATTTGCACCGTATCCCGGGATCGCAGAGCTCACCCGCTGCTCCGGCGCGGCGCTGAGGCCGGATGAGCCGCTCTGTGCCGGCTCCGTGCCCCGACGGGGTGGGGATGGCGCTCGGGAAAGGGGGTGTGACAAGCGGTTTCTCAACCTGGTTTCGTTTAAGCAACTTTGGGTGCATTTTTTGCCTTTTTTTTTTTCCCTCTATACGGGTCACTTTGAACTTGGGACTTCTCAACAAGCTCCTCATAGGGACAGATATTCCCTGAGGACAGCTAGAAATGCTTGAACTCTTTGGGAAAATGGTTTGTAGAGGGACTGGGGTGCAGAACAGAGCAGCTTCCAGCTAAGGGCTCAATGCCCCTCGCGAGCTCGTTTCCCCTCGCGAGCTTTTGCTAGGATGTGGGCAATCTCCATTGCCCTTTTTGTAGTTTTCTACCTGAAATTGCCAAGAAAGAGGTGAGAAATAAAGCGAGCAAAGACTTTCCAAGGGCGCTGTGGCAGAAAAGCAGAGTGAAGCCTGATGCTCAGCAAGGAGCTTGCCCCGCACCACTTTTGCACTGCTGCGGATATATTGACGTGGGCAAATAGTCACTGCAAGCCACGGCGCTGCTGCACATGGGCTTTGCTCCCTCTTCGCGGCTCCCGGTTGCGATACCGGGGTGGTCCCCGGGTCTCCGTGGGACTTTGAGCATCCATTTGCTCCCCAGCATCATGAACGCATGTCCCCGTGCCCGGGTGTCCCCTCGCACAGCCCCGTGTCCCCGTCACCCCTCGGCCGGGCGAGGCTGAGGAACCGGTCCTGCAAAGCCAGGTGTTGGTCAGCAGCTCGCCCGTGTTTCTGGTTACTATTTTGGAAGGATCTGCTGCAAAAATAGCTCCCGCCGGAGAGCTGGAATTACAGAAACTCGCTCGCTATGAGGCTGCTGCCGGGCAGGGCTGCGCCTGGGGCTCCGCGGCCAGGGGTGAAGGAGCCTGGAGAGGACAAGGGGCACCCGCAACCTTGGGGGCTCCTCCCGCCCCTGTCCCAACATGAGCACCGTGAATTGTATCTTAGGCTCTTCTCTTGTTTTTCCAGCTGCTTCAGCCTGGGGCATGAATTGTTGGTATAAAAGAGCTCTTAAAAACTCATGCTTGTCTCTGCAAACCACCTAAACACCCCTGAAGGCCCCCAAAGGTCCCGTCTGCGCCCCAGGCAGCGGCTCTGCTCCCGACGTGTCTTCGCCAAGGAGCTCTGCAGTATTTTGACACCGGGCCAAGTTTTTCTTCCTCTTCCTGTCATGCGGTTTGGGACAAAAGCAGGTGCTGCTGTCATCAGCCAAGTGGGATTTATTGGGCCTCTCCGGGCTTTTCTGTTATCAGGAAACCGAAACCAGTCCCTGTCAGAGACCTGGGTGCAAACAGGGGTGGCCGGGGCATGGGGCGGGCTGGCAGCCCAGGGATGCTCCTGGGCCAGGGCAGCACTGGGGACGCAGGACGGGGCTCGTTGGTGCCATTGCTACTCTGGGGAGGGCAGTGAGTGCCAAACGGGGCTGAACTGCAGGGATTTGAGGTGGGAAAGGTCCCTGGGGCAGAAGGGAGCCAAGAGGCTGGCGGGGCCGGGGCTGCCTGCAGCGAGCGCTGCTCTGCCCGGGGCCATGGGCACCGCCGGGCTCCCAAAACCTGTCCCGGGGACAGGGACGCTCCAACCTGCTTCCCAGGAAAGGGAAGTGCATCTTGCTGGGGCTTGAGGGGGAAAAAGCGGTGGTGATGGGAAGGGAGAGGCTGGAGAAAGAGCAGGGCCGGTGTCACTCCAGCATGCAGCGGCATCTGCATTTGCCTCCCCGCTACATCCTTGCTCATCCCGCCAAGATTTCCTAAATCCTCTTTCCCGGTGGAGCTTCCCCTGCCCTCCTGGAGCCGCCGGGGTGTCCGGCTGGACAATCCCTCTCCCTTTGGCAGCGGGATCCCCGGGTGAGGAGGACGCTGGAGGCCGGTGCTCGCCCAGCAGGTTCGCCGGGTCGGAGCCTGGTCTCTCCGGGCCTGTCTGTGCTCATTCCCCAAAGCCCCTCGGCGCACAGGGGCCCTCATGGGGCCGCTGAGCACCCGCGATGCCCCCGTGCAGATCAAGAAACCACAGTTCACGGTGCCGAGGTGCAATGATTTACTCCAGCCACGTCCACAAACGGGTGACAATAAATAGGGGTTGCTCCGGGATGCGGGTCACGACACGCAGTGCGACTGATCACAGCCCTGCAGCGGGTCCGAATGCACGAGGGGCCGCACACGAGACACAGCAGGACACCCAGCAAAGCATCTGCATCAGGACGGGGCAGACACAGCGCAGCAGCACGAGGGAGGGGAAGCGCTACCGCAAAATACAGCTCCAAGATAAGGAAAATATATATTTTCTCTCTGAAATGCAGGTAAAAGTGCAACGCGTGAAGGCTGAGAGAGGTGCTGGGCTTCCTCCAGCGCTGCCAGGGGGATGGTGCCAGGGCCGAGCCAGGCTCAGCTGCCTGATCCACCTGGCAGCAACTCCCTTGGCAGGGAAAAAGGCAGGAAAAGGGCAGGAAAACTCCCCTGGCTCCTGCCTCGAGCTCTGCAAAAGCGGGAGCTCTCCAGCATCAGGGAGCAGCTGCTCCTGGGATGAGAGGGCGCCGAGGACACGCAGCGCATGGGCATAGAGTGCATGAGTAGGGACTTCAAACCCGCCTCCAAGGGCTGCAGAGGAGCAGCACGGTCCCAGCGCGCGGCACACGCAGGAGGAGGCGACTGGCCAAGCAGGGAAATGCTCAGAGCGACTTTTCTCCGCATGCTGCAAGCTCCAGCCTGAAACGCGCCCTTCCTTCCCGCCACTCACGCTAGTCCTCGGTTTTTCTTACAGCTTCAGCCTCTTCTCCCGGCTGGTTGCGACCTGGAGACCCATCTCCAGCACCCTCTAGTGCTCGGCTCTGCTAGGGAGGTGTTCAAGCAGTCAAAAATGGGATTCCTATTCCCTGACAGTGAGGAAAAGCAGAAAGAGGCTTTAACCTTCCGATCCTGCCCCAGTGGGGTTGCACATGAATCCAGGATAAAAGCGGGTGCTAAGAAAAGCAGACCCTGGTTGAAAGAATAATCAAATCTATTAAAAATAGCTTAGCGATGCTGGCTATTTCGGGTACAAGTACTAAAAATACACACATTTCTGAGGCCATCGGTATTTCAGAACTGCTAAAAGACTAGATTCTCTTCATAGAAATTTGAAAAAAAAAGTTTTAAATCTCTTAGTATTAATTCATTCATCTTCAACAAACCCTTAAAAAAATACAGGCGGTCTGAGCAGCAAGGGAACGGGCAGGGAGAGGGGAGCAGAGATCCCCTGCCCCACGCACCGGCCCCACCGTCCTTGGCCCCCAAACCGGCCGGGCTGGGAATGCGGGAATCAGCCCCCGAGGCTGCATCCGGCCAGACGTTCGAGTCACCTCCCTGTCCTTCCACTGGGAGCGTTTCGGCATCCCGGCGTGCCGGGTTGCAGGCATCCCCATCGCTTTCCTGGCGGAGAGCGCGTCCGTGCTCATCCCGCCGTGGTGGAGCCCCGGGACAGGCTCCGACCTGCGCTGGAAGCTGGGGCGGGATGCGCTAACTCTGCTGCGGAGCCCTGGTTAGGAACGGGCGCCCGGGGACCAGGCAGGCGAGGAGGATGTTAAGCCCAAGGCAGGCCCAGCTGCTGCTGAAATCTGCCGTGTGCCGGGCCCAGGAGCGAAGGGGACTATGGTGTACAGCAAGTGCAGGCGTGCTCAGCTCGGGGCTTGCTGGGGAGCTCAGCCAGGAGCCACTAGGACAAAAATGGAGCTTTGGGTTGGAAAAGCAGAAATGTGAGTTGTTCACTCCAAAGCCCACTCGGCCAACCACTGCTCGCACTCGGCTCGCTGCTCCTCCGTCTCCGCGCTCCCCGCTCTGCTCGGAGCCTCTTCTCCAGGGCTAGGCACCGCTTTCTGGCTCTCCTCCTCTTCCCCTTTCTGGATCATCTTGTCCTTCAGCTCTTGGATGGTCTCGTCCAGCCGGTGGGCGACGTGGTGAGGCACCCAGTTGCTGTCCATGGCGGTGACGAAGGGGTCGGGCGCGCACACCTCGATGAGCTCCTTGCCGGTGGGGATGCGCAGGTAGTAGGCGTGGAGCATCATCCTGTAGGGGCCACTGTCCTTCTTGTGGCTGTAGGTGAAGTCCCCCACGATGGGGTGGCCGATGGCGCTGCAGTGAACCCGGAGCTGGTGCGTCCGCCCTGGGGGAAAACCAGGAGTGGGGCCATCACGGAGAGTCACAGCACCCCCCCAGTGGGGACCCTGTGGTGCAAGGTGACAATACACCATGTGGCATCTGTCCCCGCCGTTGGAAAACATAAATCCCCATGAGCTGAGCGTGGCTTCCAGCTCAGCCCTTTGCAGATGCTGCTTTGCAAGGGCCAGGGCTGCACGGGCAGGACAACAGCAGGGCCCCTGGTCCCTCTCTCCATGGTGGCACCTCTTCCTACCTGCTCAAGCCAGGCCTGGCCGAGCAGCAGCGTGAAAGCTGTCCAGCCCTCGGCTCCTGCAACCGCTTCCCAGTGCCGAAATCCCGCTCCGGGCCCGGCCGCCAGCCCCACCTGTCAGCGGCTGCAGCAGCACTTTGGTTACAGGGTCTCCGCTGTAGGATCCGTGTTCCAGGACGATCAGCTCCGACTCGCAAGGCTTGGGATTTTCACAGCCTGCAGAGAGAGCGGGAAGGGGCTCAGCGCAGGGGCGAGCGCGGCTCGGGCCGCGCGGGTTCCGCGCCGGGGCCTCACCCTCCGTGCCCTCGATGCACATCATGTGGGTCATGCCCTCGCTCGTGTTCTTCCCGATGGCGTACCGGATCGCCAGCCGGCTCTCCTTCACGTGGCCCCGGACCTGCAGGGCGGAGCGGAACAGTCCGGTTGACCGGACAAATGAAGCCCAGACAAGTCCCCACTTGGTGCACACGGACGTCCCGCTCCCGCACTCACCAGGGCCAGGTAGGCTTTGGTCACCAGCCGCTCCTTGAAGCACTTGTAGGCGCTTCCCGCAGCCGCCTTGTTGAGCGCCACGCACAGGGCCCCACTGGTGGAAAAGTCCAGCTGGTGGCAAAACCTGCGGAGGAGGTGGATGGGGAACGGCCTCCTGGGCATTCCCGCAGGTTTCTATGCTTCCCAGATGCACCCCGCTTAGAATCATAGAATGAAGGTTGGAAGGGGCCTGTAGAAATCATCTAGTCCAACCCCCTGCACATGCAGGGTCACCTAGAGCACGTGGCACAGGACTGCGTCCAAGCGGGTTTGAAGATCTCCAGAGAAGGAGACTCCACAACCTCTCTGGGCAGCCTGTTCCAGGGCTCTGGCACCCTCACTGTTAAGAAACTTTTCCTTAAGTTCCTGTGGAACTTTTGGTGCTTCAGTTTGTGGCC